TCCCCACATCCCCTCACCCCATCCCTCCCCACATCCCCTCCGCTCCCCCCGTTTTCGTGCCGATTCGTAACGAACCGGTGGATCAAGTTTTTCTCTCTCCTCTCTCTCTCTCCCCGCTGGTTAATCGCATTGCTGTAGCACCGGCTGACCTCCCTCCCTCCCTCTCCCTTTCTCTCCCTCTCCCTCTCTTTTTTTTTTTTGTTCTTCATCTTCCTTCAAAGTATGTGCCATTCCTGAACGAGTTTCCCCGCCGGCTCATCCCCGGGGCTGCCCGGCTCGCCGGCTCCGCATGCCCCACCTGTAAGTGCCGGGGCGGGTTTCTCTCCCCTCTCCCCCTTTCTTTCTCCCCCTTTCTTTTAAAAAATATTTTTTAAACTTTCCCCATCTTGCTGTGTCTTCAGCCCGAGCAAAACTCTCTCTCCATTCGTTGTGGAGAGGGAGGCTTAGCAGCTGGGATTTGCCATCACCAGCCTAAAAATGGTGACCAAACTTTTTTCTTCCCCCCCTCCTCTTCCTCCACCTCCCGCCTTGAAGAAATAAAAAATAAAAAGCAAACCGTGTTTTAATTTCAGTTATGGATGTTTCTGTGCTTCTTTTTGTCTGTCTTTCTCTTCCTCCTCCCTTCCTCCCCTTTCTTTCCTTCCACTTCATTGGCTGGGATGATCTTTCCCTGTTGCTTCTGATGTTTCTTTCTTTTTCTCAGTGTGTGCCTGCCTACCTGGACTAGGGGGAAGATAAGGTAATTTTGAAGGGCTTGAGGAAGCGGCTTACCTGTTTTCAAAACTTTTTTTTTGAGATTTCTTTTTAAGAGTCCTGTGAAAATCAGTAATTGAAGGGAGTTTGGTAGCAGCTGGGCAGGTTGAAATTTAAGTGTTATGTGCTGAATGCCTTGGGAATTTGATCTGCTTTATACCAAAGAAGAACACAGAGAAAAGTATTTATTTATTGGGGGAAAGGTGGGGGGAGGAAAGGAAAGCGGGTTAAGGGAGGGGGAGGGAAGTGGTTTTGGAGACAAGAAGTGAAGCTGCCTGTTTTCCAGTAAGTAATGGAGAAATTCCAGGAGCCAGGGCTAAATATACTTGGCGATCAATACAGAAATGGCTCATTGTGAATAATTTAGCTGCCTGGTGCAGTGAGAGTTTTGAAACTAAAGGCAAAAAAGAGGCCGTGGAGGGAGAGAGGAAATAAAATTCTCCTCTGGTCATGTCAGATTCTTAACTTTTCCACTTAAAAGAACACAGTTATGATTATTGATCTCTCTTTTTTTTTTTTTTTTTTTCCTCCCCCTCAATATATATCAAATGATAGCTAGGGGGTGTCATTCTATACAGTTACTTGGGTTTCTGGAAAGTAATAGCTTGTTCTGTGTCAGCAAAGTGCTTCCAGAAACTTTAAGATTGCTTCACGCCACAAAATGCGTGATCTGGGAGTATTAAGTGTGACGTTCGGCCCCATGCTGTGGCAGATAAATAGGGTTAGAGCGAACAGGTGTGTGTACAGGTGTGTGCGCGCGTTCGGTGGTGTGAGACAAAGAGTTGTAATAACTCTCTCGAAGGGGAACGGACACTGGGGGGCTTTATTTTGTTTAGATCAGGATGGAGTCTCTTGGAGCGCGCGTGAAAAGAGCAATTGTTAATAGTATCCATCTCCTCAAAGTCTGTTCTGGCTGCCAGAGCTGATAATTGATAAAGCATTACCATCCCGGCTTGAACAAAACGAGTGGAAAGTCGGAGAAAAAACTCTCAGATCAGGTAAAAATGTGAGTAGGGGACAGAGAGAGGGGTATGATCAGACCAAGATGATCCCAGTGTCACCTGCCCAGGAGGCAGCTGAATTTCTCTACTCAGATAATTTGCAGCAAGAGTTCAGTGATTTGCAAATGAGCACATGCAGTACACTTGTGTGTTTCTCTAGGCGATGGTTGCAACAGCAGTAAAACGGGCAACTACTTAGGGCTTTAAGTAAGTTTAATCATTTAATGGTTGATACTGACAGGCGTCTTTGAGGGTGTACTTTTCTGCCTTGCAGCACTGCACTTTGACTATGGAAGCAGAGGCTGCTGATGGATATATAACATGTAAGTAGTCCTTTCATTTGATTATTCTGAATTACTTTCCTTTTCCCACTGTCCTTTCTATAATGCAGATACCTGAAACTTTAGCTTCCTTGTGTATGGTCTTTGCATTGAGATGATACTGAATTAGTAGCGTTTAAACATAAACTTTGTGTATGATTGAAAAATGCATGGGGAGGGGTGCACGGGTGAGTAGCTCTAGGTTTAAATATTTAGCAAGGATGAATGAACTTTGCAAGTGAGAGAGAGTTCATCTTCAGAAATTCAAATTGCAACCAAAAACTTTTCATGCCTTTCACTATGCATTTCTCTCCTTTTCTGTGTCAGGGCAAAATGTCTTAGTTTATGTGCTTTGTTTAACTGTCAGTTAACCGAGAGCTTTGGGGGTGAAGGTCTATACGATAAAATGCTACTTCAGTCTTCTCCTGCCCAGCCCCAGTTCTGGGTGTCTGCAAATGGAAAAGTAATCCTAACTTTTCTTGAGCAGCGAGGGCAAGGTTTGTCACAGGCGTGTGTGGAGAAGACTGGTGACAGTAGGTTTGGGGGGGGCTCTTAAAATCAGTCAGTTAAATGTTTGCTTGTGGTTACTTAGAGTCCAGTTTTTACAGGCTGTGGAAGACCCCGCTGGTAAAGGAGGGAAGGGCGAAGGGAGTGAGCAAGTCGTACTTTTTAATCGTTGTGTTGCTCTGCTGAAGAAGGGGATGGAAACTTATGGGGGACTTGTTTTGTGAAAGCAGGTGACAATGAGCTTTCGCCCGAAAGGGAGCACTCCGGCATGGCCATTGACCTCACCTCCAGCACACCCAATGGGCAGCATACCTCCCCCAGTCACATGGCAAGCAGTAAGTCTCTTCTTAAACCTGTTTCTCTCTAGCAGTGGGTTTGGGTTAGTCTGGTCCTCTGGGTCCTCAGCTTGCTTACTTACCGGGTCTTAACCACTGCTGTAGGCATTGCTAATAAAAGAAGAGAAGGACAGGGTAGATTTTTTTTTCTTTTTTTTTTTTTTTTTCTTTTCTTTCTTGTTCATGCTGGTGTCTCATCTAAACATGAACGGGATTACTAGTCTGAACTATCCCAAGGTGGCATTTGAGAGCTGGTCCTTACCTGTTCCAGGTAGGAAAACACTAGGCTTGACATGTGCTGGTTTTGTTTAATCAGGTTTTGAAATCCAAATGGAAATTGTTGTTATTATTATTATTACTTACTGTGCTTCCCAAAACAGCTTGAAGTAGCTTTATTTGAAAACAAACACATTTTATTTACAAAAAGGCTTTACTCTGGCAAAGGTATGAAGTTAAAATATCTGGGTTTGATGACAGGTTGTATTTTACTATTCCATAGAGAAACTTCAGCATCCTATTCATTACTTCAGCTTTGTCTTGGCAAGTCCAAAAGCGGCTGGGATAATTGGAAGTTTATGGCACTCGGTAGTTGAGTCTCTAACAGACTGAAAGGATTTTGTTTTAGAATATTAGGAGAGATATTGAGAAGGTGTAGAGATTTGGGAGTCTACTGAGAATGTCAAGTGCTGATAATATTTTTATAATTATTTTCATGCTATATTTTGGAGGTGGATAAATGTAGTTTACACACATTTCATAAAACCAACATCCTTTCTTTTTTGTGTGTGAGTGCCATAGCTTGTTTTACTCTTGGTTGCAATGTTACATCAAGATATTTACCTTAAAGTACCCCTGTACTTGTATTCAAAAATAATGTAATATGCTTTGCTTCCAGTATACTGTCAGAGGGTTCCTCTCTATGTGATACTAATTTTCTTTCTAGTGTGTGTACTATAGATACATGTTTATCTTTTTAAACTGAGTGTTTGTATAATGCCCCACCGAAAACTGTGAAAGAAAAAGAGAGCTTTTAGGGTTGCTTGCTTTACAATACACAGTGTATTGCCTTCAAAGTCTTTCGTACTGAGATGATGATGTTACTTTCCTTTAAGAATTCGTCTTTCCTCCTGCAAATTACCAGTAAAACACAGTTTTTATGAGCCTTTAAAACTGAGGGTTATTATGAAGATCTCCCAATTATATACATGTTGCTAGAGAATATGATTGCTAATACTCTGGACTGAACTTTATATGACAACCGATCATAATTCAGCATCTTTAGACAATTCCAATCCGGCTGCACTGGGATTCTGATGTATTTTATTATGTTGTAAAAGTTTTACTACTCACTTTCTTCATTTTCTTTGTTTCCTTTTTATTAATGGGAAGCCTTCATTGGGAGGGAAAAAAAGCTCCTTGTTTTAAATCTTCTTTATAATCTAGACTAAAAACCAGAGGCAAGTTAGGGAATAAAAAGATCTGGGATGAAGTCATGCAAAAATGCTTTAACACATTCAATATTTTCGTGCTCATTGTGTTAACATTTTGAATTATTTTTAAGCTTCGTTAGTTCTTGCAACACACATGTATCTGCTGCCTTGGTGTATATCTTATTTTTTAAATGTGCGTTGTAGTATCTCACAGGTGTCTCAACTGTTTTCATCGCTGCTGCTCTGTGTTAAGCGTGTGCTGCTGTTGAAAAATTAGGGGCTCTGCCTGGGGTTCTTAAGCCAAGGAAAACTCGGGCTTCTTAAATTTGTTGTAATTTATTTACTCTTTGCAGGCATAAGAATGTTTTGCAGAGAGGCGGTTTGTTCTCTCTTAAACATGGAAGGTATTGATTAGAGGTTGTCGGCTTTTGTGGCAGCTGTTACGTTGGTTCATTTAAGATTTTTTGGCCAAATCTTGAATCTGGCATGTGTAGACTAAATCACCAGGCTGTGCTTTAGAGCTTTCCACCTGTTTTGTGGGGTACAGGAAATCCTTTTAAAGGTTCAGTAACCCAGAGGCCTGCGAGCTCTGGGGTTTTTGGGGGTGCTTTTTTGTTTTGTTTTGAGGAGAGGTGGAGGTGGGAGAGTAAGGAGGAGTAGCTGTTTGAAATATTTTGTATGAATTTGGTAGCTCCTGTTGGATCGATCCATCATTATTTGTTGTAAGCGGGGGAAGTGGCTGCGTGGTTATTTCAGTATGGTTTAATTTCTAGTGGAGTCACTGGAGACTGATCTACTGTTGGCCTGCTGCTATAGTGAAGCCCAAGGCATGTCATTCTGGCTGGGTAGGGTTTGCTAATGGAGGAGGTGGTACGTGGATCGGACCCCAAATGTTTCACTCCCGTTTTTGTTGCCAGTTGTCCCCAGAAGGTGGATGGCCCTATTTAGCCGTGTGCTCAGGATGTGCACCTGCAAGGCAGAGATCTAAGTTCTGAACTTTGTTCTTGCGTTCCATTGAATCGTTTTGAACCACAGCTCTTAATTTAACCTTAATTTGTGTCTGGCTCAAACAGAGACAAAACCGTAAGAAGCAAATTTCTTGGATCTGTACTGAAATGACTGAGCAGTGCTCTCCCAGCAACAGTAAAATTATGTGCTAGGTTAAGAGTTTTCTATGTTCATTAGCCCCTGGCAATCCGTGTTAGTAGGAGTTCTGGCTGGGCTACTGATGTTTTCAGGTTCTATTCCAAAAGGTTTCAGGTTAAATATTTTGGCTTATGCTGGAGAGTTGTCTACTGCATCCTTTAACCTATTAACATTTTCAAGTATCTAGATGGTACGTATAGGTTATGGATGGGGCTGACACTCAATTTTCCTTGTGAATGAGATGATCATGAAAGATAAATCACAATAAATCGCCTGTCATAGCTAACTAATGATCTTACATATATCTTACAGTATATATCTGCCTTTAGCAGAATACTGTATGTATGTTGGCAGAGGCTCTGTTCTAAAATACTTTATCGTAGTTTTATGTAAGCGAAGATTTAAAATGTGTGTAAATAGTCAGACTGAATAGGTTGATAGATCATCTCACTTTCCTCTACAGCAAAAGGCAAATTAGTGCTATACCTGCTGATACAGATGATATTTACATAGCCCCAAATCTGGAAGTCCAGATCTTCTTCTGATCTTCCATAGGAAGACTCTTCCAAGGGCTGACACGCAGAGCTGGGCATCAAAGGCCTGCTCAATTAACTTCTTCTTGGTACTAGAGAGTTCCCTGCATGGCCCTAAGCCCTCTTCTAGACCCCGCCGAGTTCAAGGGAGTTTGTCTTGTTGCCTTCGGTGAATGTTGAACTGGGCTATAAGTGATCAGGAACCTCAGAATAGGAACTGGCATGCTAATAAAAGGCTGATGGGGAATCCTTATAAAAGAGGCTTTAAAAAGAAATAATTCCCAGTCACGTCCTCATAATACCATGCCGAGTTCTTACTTTAGTTATTTGAGATATATGTTACTTTTTCTCCCTCTAGGTTAAAATGGACTTAGAAGAATGTCCCCTTTAGAAACTGCGGGGGCACAGTCATTTGGTTAGTTGACTTGATCACTGCTTTGTATAGGATGAAGGATACTTCTCTAAGACCACTTGCCTGGTATCATATGGAAAATAGTAACAGCAGCTGTTAGCATCCGACAGTTAGTGACAGAGGACATTTCCTCTTTAATTAGAGACTTTACAGTGGGTGTCCTAGACAACTTTCTTATCTTTGCTTTCATAGACAAAAGGAGCCATTAAACGAAACAGAGTCAGAACAATCATAAATATCAAACCCAACATCTGATGTTTGAAACTGATTAAAATTGTGGTACGCTTTCAAGATGTTTTTATAGTAGCTTAAAGTGTTAATAAGTTATGAAAAATAATTTATTAAGAAAATAAGCATTGTCAACTGACTCTCTTGCTGAAAATAATGAGGTGATTGCATTTTCTCCATGGTGGGGAATGATCACGCTATCTGACAAGATAGCTATTGGGACAAGAGTATTAAGCGTGAGTGATTTCAGCAGCAGTATTTAAAGAGAACTTGGGAAAGGTCTTATTATAACGTAGCCAATACTGTATTCCCAGCGATCAGGGTAGACTGGGGTGGGCTATCAGTGGCCTTTTTTTTTTTTTTCTTTTCCTTCTCCCCTGTAACTCCAAAGACCCAAATCGTTCTTGATTACTTTCGTTTTTCAGCTCTGAATTATCATACAAGCGCTGTTTAGTCACAGTTGTGTTGCCCTGAGCAGAAAGTTTCATGTACCACAGCTGCATCAGCACCACATCTGTATGGATAAAGAAATGTAACCATGGAGCCCGCCTTTTGGAATGAAAATGCGAAAATTAGAGGTTACTTCATGCCTCAGCTACGCGTCAAACAAGCCTCGCCATCACCAGGGTCTATGGCCCAGGCACGTGAGGCTGGACCTTGCACTGGGATTCTTTTTGTCTCAGTATGATTTTTTTCAGTAGGATGAGGTGATGGAGGCTGAGCCTCTGCAGGAGCCTTTTCTTTAGGGAGGGTGGTTGAAGCTGTCTGGGCTGGGCTGCAAGGGGGGAACTGAATTAGTGCTTTGCGGCTGTCACTACCCTGACACGTGCACTGGGACATGAAGAGTTCTGGCAGCCAAACTGCTGTGCTCTGAAGCGGGGATTCAGGTCTCCAGTTCTTCCAAATACCTTGGAAAGTGTGAAACACTGCATGCGGTGCTAAAAACTTGGACTGGATAGCCTCAAGATGCTGAGGAATCTTTTTCCTCGGTGACCTTTAAGGAGTAGGGTAGGCAACATCTGTTGCTCTGAGTATCTTTGATCCTGCCTCGGTGCAGGGAGGTGGACTTCTGACAGTCGCTTGAGATGTCCTCCAGTCATTTGTGTCTGACTTTCCAACCTCGACAGTTTGATGTTTAGAGAGCTCATCTGTGGAATTTCACAGTGATGCCCGATACAGACGTACCTGTGGTTTTACAGGTTGAAGGGCAGTGAAGATGCACTATGCCAAGATGAGCTTAGACATAAGGGA